AGCAACTGTCTCTCTTCTCTTCTCTTCTCTTAAGCTTTTATCATGCACAGGGAGAGCTCAGGACTGGAGGTTGATTACCAACTGACAGAGAACGCCAGAGCCAGTTCCTGTCTGATAGGTTATTAACATCTAGTTAATACTTTATAGTATGTGGATTTAATGATATTTTCTTTACAATAATTAGCTCCTAAATCCAACCATTGGGTATTTTATACAATACAGTCACCATAAAAAATTAAAATGAATATCACAATAGCAGAACTAAAAGTATTAAATCTGCTACAACTGTAAAAGATATAACCTAAGAACCAAGAAATGGTTTTGCCAAGGTAACACATGATAATTGTCAGGAATCCTAAGTACATTCATAACACCTTTATCTTAATGCAGATTACACTTGCAATTGCAAGGTTGAACAAATGAAGAACAAACTTAATTTACCTACTGCTACCAGTACAGCGTTCCATCTATTCCAGGACTATTTTTCCCAATCTCTGTTACCCAATGAAACATCTGTAGATGTTTAAATGTTCAGTGGCACACCTGGATGGGCAGGCATCTCTGCTTCTTCAAAATAAAATTGGCAATATATGTGTGTAGGACATGCTGTTGAACGTTAGGCTGGGAGGACCCCGAGTTCAAGTCAGAAACAAGGGACAGAGAACAGAAGCCTATTTGAAATCAAGCTTCTACTCCCCTGGGAACCACATGGATCCTAGCAACACTGAACAAAGGGCTATAGACAAAGCAATGGAGGATTCAGGACCGTAAACCATTTTTCTACCTCTGGGCTGTATACAAGCAGACACTTCACTGTCCTACATTAGCACTGTCTGCCATGCCCATGCATTATGCTCCCAACCCGGCAAATTGTAAATACTGGGATTTTCTGTTTCAGGAGGGTTTTAGATTATACAATGAATTTGTTATCAGATCATTTGGTCTCAGTAAGAGGAAGATCCAGAGACAGGAGACGCTGTTCTGCTCATCAACCAGGGGCACCTGACCTGCAGAAAAGAGACTGAAATAAAGCCCAAGGTCAGGCAGTCAGAGCTCTGCAGGGAGACAAGAATCCAAGTAGGACATGCCTTACTAAGGATACTTTGCTAACCCACTTAGGTTGAACCAACACCCTAAGGTGCATTCAGGTGAGCTCCATATGGAGAAGGGAGTGGTGGGATATTGGCACATTACTCAAAATCCCACCGCAACGCATACTTTGACCTCCAGTAGTCTTAGCAGACTATGGGCTTTCTACGGGAAATGCAGAAGCTGGGAGATTGACTTTTGAAAATGCGATGTCTGCCTTTGGTCATGGAGAAGGGGAAGATGGAAAAAGAGAAACAGTATAAACAGCCACAGACCTCCAGGGCACACGGAAGACTCTTAACCAACTTTTACTTCATGAAAATGGAGAAACATATATTGATCCTTGGAAAAGAGGTGGAATCCAAGGGGGACTAGAAGCCTGCACAAGGGGGATAATTGGATTTAAATTTCTTGTCTCAACACTACTTATCTGGTCTTTTCACTTGTGAGCATGATCCAACACACTGGTTGAGAAACATTTTTCTAGTCTTTTCTTTACACTGCTCAGTGATGAGGATGATGTTTTTTGAGAGATCTGAAATACAGACATTACTTTGTGCCTTCTTTGTTTTAAGAATGTCTTATAGCTTTCAGTGTACAGGTCCTTCACCAACAGTTTAGTGGTTACCAGAGGGTAAGGGAGGAGCGAGGGTGGTAGAAGAGGGGAAGGGGGTCAAATATATGGTGATGGAAGGAGACTCTGGGTGGTGAGCACACAGTGTGATATATACTCATAGATGATGTATTATAGAAATGTACACTTGAAACCTATATAATTTTACTAATCATTGTCACCCCAATACATTTTAATACATAAATAAGAAACACAGACATTAGCGCAACACCACCTTAGTACCAAAATTTCATTCATCAAAAGGTGAACAATTGTGAACTCTCCTGACCTGTCATATATCCAGTATCAGCGTGTTACATGTCATGTTTTGATGATGCAAGGCTCTAAGTTAAGACATCCAGCTTAAGTAAGGAGGTGTTTCACAAACACACTGTCTCATGTTCATTCCCCTGTGCACAGAAGACAAAAACTAACTACTGAATGGAAATGCAGCATCCCCTGGCCTCCACTAGCACCCAAATCCCATGGCCCAACAGCCATGGAATTCCCACAATCCATAAAGACTGAGTGACAGACACGCACAAGGCCAAGCAGGTGTCTCTGAGAACAGTCATTCCACACACAATCTGTGACTCAGCCCTGTCTTTACCTCCTTTTTAGGGCTCTGTGTCCCTATTGGGAAAGAGAAAACCTAAGTGCTAAGGGATATGTGAAAAGAAGATATTCTCACCTCTTCACCAAGCCAGTGAGGTTTGCTGACTGGTAAAGACATACTCCTTCTGTAGTTCCCTTCTCAAGTGTCATGGTGTCAGCAGATTTTATGGGAGGAGGGATGAGGAAATGGACAGGCTCACTACCCAAAGCAATTTTCGGATGCAATTATGAGACTCCACTGGCACCGCTTTAGGATCTGCAAGTCAGAGCAAGTTGCCCTGCACTTAAAGAGGAGGGATTAACTAAACAAACTTCATCTAAATCAATTTGCACTGTTCGGATGATACGTTCATGAAGCAACCAAGTCACTCTGATTTGTGGCAGGACTTCTGGGGGTGGCCATGCAAGGCACAACATGCTAGATGAGAAGTCTAGTAGTCATGAAAGTAAATAAGAGAAACAATCACCCCTTCATATCCCTAGCCTCTACCCCTGCTCCACACAGCCCCTCCCTGTCCTAATCCTGGAACTGCAAGTTAGGACATAGGCCTCAAACAAGCAGGGGGCCAAAATACTAGGCCAGGGCTGGGGCATCAGCCCAGTCAGCAGAGGACTCCGCACATTATAGGTGCTTAATAAATATTGTTGACTCACCGCTGCTAGATACTAATCATGCTTATATAGCCATGCCTAAAATTATTTATGCCACTTTTCAGTAGAAATTAGCTAACTGCCCCCATACAGGCTAAAAATGGGTGAGGTTACGTTTTCAAATGCATCTGACTCAGATTGTTAGGTTGGAGTACATACATTAGGTATGATTTAAGTCTCAACTTAAAATAATCACCATTACTCTGTATGCCTAGTTTTATGTATGCTGCATTCAGTTGTATGTGCATTCAGTACAATAAAACAGACTGAGGACCGAAGTGCAGTGATAGATTTGGCTACAGGCGGGCTAATAATGGCAAGTTAAGATTTCTAGTAAACTAGGGTTCCTACTTACACTTAGTCAATCTATTGTCCTAATAAAAAGGTAAATGAAACACTGTCTTTGAAAAGTGTATGTAGTGCTGAGGGTTTGTAGAACCCTTTCATCTTCAAAGGACCAAGCCAAGACTCACAAAACCCAGTACACAATATTATGCCTTTTACACAAGTGCATCAACTATGAAAGAAAGGTCATAGGAATATCCTAAGGCCAATGCAACATCGGATTTGGGAGAAACTCTCTGATCTTCTTGGCTCCTAGACCTGTATTTCAACCACATAAATCAAGCTGTGAGGAACAATCCGGAAAAATCTAATTCACATTATATATCTGTATTAAGTTAATTGATTGGGCAGGAATATATAAAATAGCAAAGACTGTTTCCCCCTCAGGCAGTGATGAGTGGACCGGGGTGAAAGGGGGGATGTAAGGGTTCGGGGTAGAGCAAGAAGTAGGGGAGGGACTGTCTCTCTCTTCAGCCTTTCCCTTCTATTGGAACATGGACAGAGAACTGATACCGAGAGGGAACAGAATGGGGTAAAAGGCAGCACTTATGGCCCAACCTGAGAATCAGAGGACTGAACCCCCACACAGGACTTGTCTATTTATATAGTCTCCAATATATTATTTTATAAGGGCTCCTCCTCGGAGACACACAACCATCACTAAGCACCCACCCCACACTCAGAAATCCTGAAAAAGGCAAACTGTTTGAGAAACAAGAAGCTGCATTGCTGGGTGGCTGGGAGTACACAGGTTGATGGGGGAAAGGGTCCGCGGGATGGGTGGATTCGGGGAGGGGGCGGGAGGCAGGCGTTGGGTGGGCAGGTACGTGTGTGATGTTGTAGGAAGGTGAGTGAGTGTCAAGGCGGTAGGAGAGTGTAGAGGAGTGAAAGTCAAGAACCCACGACCCCAGGATCCCAATTTCCTGCTCTGAGAAATGTCTCCCAGAAATAATGTGCTGCGCATGAAGTGCGAAGTAACCTAAATCGTATCATCACCAAAAATGTTTCTGTAAATCGAATCCACTGTTATTTACTTAATTCTTACGAGCCAGGAATGGAAAAAACCCCACCTCTCCGCGATTCAGTCGCAGTCTATCCAGGGGACATACGCAAGTTTCCCCTCTTCCTACTGAGCTGGTTTCAGAGCTAGGCCAGAAATAAGGAACCACTCAGACTCCAGGGTCGCTCCCCTGGCAAGAAAAGGGATTAAGTTTCGCCGGGCCTCCCCGCTGGCAGGCTGTCCGCAGCACCTCGGGCTGCGACAGCAGCTACCGCCGGGCAGACGGCCGGCCGAGCGGCGCCGCCCGGGCCGACGAGGCTGCCGGCCGCGGGAGCGTGGGAAGGCGCTCGTGGGAAGGAGGCGCTCGACTGGCCGCGCTGGGCCCGGCCCGGCTGTGAGGAGGCCTCGAGCCGCCCCCGCCCGCCACCCGGAGTGCAAACTCCATCCCAGGAGGGCGGCAGCGACGGGAACCCGGGCCTCAACGGCGCAACGGGGAGTCAGGGCCAGGACGGGGCCCCGGCCGCCGCCTCGAGCCTCTCGCAGCTCGTCACCCTGCCCCGCCGAGCCCCGGAACCCTCGGCCCGCGCTGGCCCCGGCCACACCTGAGAGGCGGCTGGAGCCGGGGCCGAGCCCTGCGCGGGCGGGGTGCTGGGCCCCCGGGGGCCGCGGCGAGGGGGCGCGCTTTACCCAGAGCGTTCCCGGGTGCCGGCCATCTCCTGAGCGCGCCCCAGGGCGCAGGGCGCTCGCCTCCCTCCGCCGCGAGCTGGCTCAGGCTCCGATGCTGGCGCGAGCTCCCCGGGCTGCCGCTGCCGCCGCTCTAGGCCGCCGCCCGCCTTCGCCTTCGCCTTCGCCTTCGCCGCTGCCGCCGCGCAGCAGCCGGGATCCGCCCGCCCGCGCGCCCCGCAAGGGACAGCACGGCGGTCGCGACGCTCCAAACTTAAGAGTTTTCGCCCCCTCAGTCCATGGGCAGCACCATGACACCACGGCAGCTCCACACTGTCATTTCCGCCGCCGCAGAGAAAAGAAAAGCAATCCCTTCGAAAAGGGGGGTGGGGTGGGGGCCAACAGGGCTGGGGCTGACGCCCGGAGGGAGCACCGGCAAAGGCCCGGCAGCAGGGGCTCTCGGCCACCTTCCGGGCCTCACCTTCAGCCTCCCCCGCCGCTCCCAGCTACCCCAGCCCCTCCTCTGGAGGCGCGTTTACATGTTTTCTCCCTGGGCAGGAGTGACGGGAGAAACCTGAGCAAGCAAAGGCAGTGGGTGGGTGGGGTTCGGGTTACTACTGTACCTACCAGCTGATTCCAGCAGCCTTTTCTCCAGCGCCCTGTCATCTTGAAGGAAGACACACCGAGAGGGGCTGAGCGGTCGTGTGTGTGTGTGTGTGTGTGTGTGTGTGTGTGTGTATGTGTGTGTGAGAGAGAGAGAGAGAGAGAGAGAGAGAGAGAGAGAGAGAGAGAGAG